GGCCGACTAGGGCTGCTTTGCAGAGTCCCCAACTCTCAACTCTACCTCAGGCTGTAGCACCTTCAGGGATAGACCAGCGGGTCCTCTCCAGCCTGTTTTGCTATCCCTTTGCCTGTCCCTTTAGTGCATAAAGGCTGCAGCTGTGGCTTCCTAAGGGATCCCTGTGACCACACAACGTGGAGGCAACGGGATCTGTTCATGCAGATCTGGCCTACCACCCATCACCATCCCCAGTACCTGACCCTCTCCTCATAGCCACATCCCTGCAGAAGCCAGGCTGTTGTGGAGATGGGCCTGGCAAACCACTTCAGCCCTGCTTCTGAGAGCCCGAGGGTGGGTCCTGTCTCCGGGCACCTCATCTGCCCCAGGACGTCACAGTGGGCTGCTCAGCACTTCAGCTCTCAGGACACACAGCTCCCATGGAGGATAGCGGCCTTGCCCAAGCCACATGACTCATCTACAGTCATCTGACATGCGCCTGGGTCTCACAGAAAAGTGAAGATCTTATTTGTACTGTGGTGCTTTTGAGTCAGGCCTCCAGAAGCCTTGCTTGGTAAGGAGTGTAAAGTTTGCCACACAACTGTTAGGCTTCAAACCCGGGACAAATGACTGAGGCACCTATTTAACATATTAAAGCCAGCCTGGCTGCCAGCTTCTCCCACTATCCCTCAGTGTCTACTATTTGTTACAGGGCCCTCCTAGCTGGCATACCCTGCCCCTTACCCTAAACTTCTCCAGCCCAGGGGCTGGACTGCCGACTCCCCAGCTGTCCTTCCCTGTATACTCCAACCATTTTGGTTACCTGTTTGTTTTGTCTTTTGTTTTCCCCGTCTACTCTCTTTGGGCCTCCTGGCTGGTTGATGCACCTAGTTCCCCTCTCTCCCCTCTCTGTTACCCTCCCCCTCAGGGTCATGTCCACTCCCACTCTTCCAGATGTTCCTGCCTCTGGCCATGTCTCCCTTTTATCTACAGTGACCCTCCTCCATTCTACCTAGGACCAGTCATGTCCATTCCTTTTCATTCAGCAACCACTAGAACTGTATCCCTCCCGAGATGCCTGCACAGAGCAACAGAGGTTGAGAGTGCAGGACCAAGAGGCCTTTCTGAGGTGGCTCCTCCCACCCCACAAGAGTCTGCTCCCAGGTGGAAGAGCCTGGCAGGGGATCCCTGCTGTGCAGGTGTCTTGGATAGAAGTTCAAGACTCATTCTGGGTCTTCCTCTCTGGTGAGCTGGGCTTCTTGCCATGTGGCCATCCATCACCTTTTGGGGCTACTTCCCTCATTCCCCTAGGTGGCAGCAGGCTGACTCCCTGAGGGGGCAGGGTCTCCTAGGATGCACATCCTCTATATTTGTACCCAAGAAGCTGTATGAAACCTGTGTCCTCTGCTTGGTTCCCTCCTCCCCTCAATAAGGTCTTACTCATGGAGTCAGCAAATAAGTAGCCTTGGCTGGCCTGCTACTTATAGGACTAGCCTGGCCTCTAACTAATGGCAATCCTCCTGTCTTAGGTTCTGGAGTACTGTGAATAGGCATAAATCGCTACACTGTGGTGTGTGTGTGTGTGTGTGTGTGTGTGTGTATGTGTGTAGAATCTGCCCTTCATCTTGTGATGGACACTGGCGTCCACTTGGCTTCAGGCTTGTACTGCAATCACATTGTTTGTTCTGGGTCTCTGAATGACAGGGATGAAAATATCAGGGTCTTCTAGTGTCCACCATCACCTTTACTGCATCTGCTACACATAGCCATTTAGCAAATCAACAGATACCCACTTACCTAGTGGGTAACAGATACCCAACATCCATTCCTCTTTCTCATCCATCATGTTCATTATGGGGTTTTGTTTGTTTGTTTTTGTTTTGGGTTTTGTTTTGTTTTATGGTCAACTTGGCACAAGCTTGAGTCATCTGGGAAGAGGGGACCTCAATTGAAAAAACCACTTCCATCAGGTCTGTAGGTCTGTCTATGGGCATACTTTTGATTTATGCTTGACGTGGCAGTGCTCAGCCCACTGTGGGCAGTGCCATCCCTAGGCTGGTTTTCCAAGGGTGGTATAAGAAAGCAAAAGGAGCAAGCCAGTAAAGAGCTCTCCTTCAAGGGCTCTGCCTCCAGGTTCCTGCTCTTAATTCCCTACATGATGGATTATAAAACATAAGAAGAAATAAACTGGCTAGCATTGGTGGCACACACCTTTAATCCCAGTGCTCAGGATCCAGAGGCCGGCAGATCTCTGTGAGTTTGAGGCCAGCCTGGTCTACAGAGAGAATTCCAGGACAGGCTCCAAAGCTATACAGAGAAACCCTCTCTTGAAAAAAAAAAAAAAAAAAAAAAAAAAAAAAAAAAAAAAAA